CGAGACCTTTCACATTTCACTGCCTGGGAGCTCTGGGCATCTCCAAAGCTTGTTTTTCCAGGTAGGCTCTACATGTGTTCCCCACAGCTGCAGTCCTGCAGACTCTCAGCACTTGGGGGAAGTAGCTCACCTCACTTCTCTGCCAAAGGAGCATCTCCCTGCCCAAGAGCCAACCTTACCTCTCAGCAGCTGGATTAGCTACCCACAGGTTTAATAAATAAATAATAAATAAAAGTCCAACACTGACCAGAGAAAAAAGGAGGAGATTAAACCTAGCAGCTGGATATAAGCCCAGTGTAGACATAACTTAAGGCTTCAAAAGAGGAGCTAGATATCATCTCAATCAATGAAGAGCAACAGCGATGGCAGAGAGGCAGGTGCCTTTCCTTTACACTACATTCTCTGATCCTCCACAACAATTTACTGCTCTTTCACTCTGCGTTGGAAACAACAAACACCTGCACACTTGAAATTTGCACAACCATTTGGTGAACAGACATTTATCCAGGGACTATAGAAACCAGCGCGCTCTATTTTGCAAGCACAAGCGCCTCCACTCCCCGTCACAAAACCAGGCAGGGAACGCAGAAGTTTTACTATTCTTAAAAATCTGAGGACTTGAGACTGTCAACAGTCAACCCAGATGAGAAGGAAGGAAAAATAGTTGAGAGAGGGTGCAGATGGGTAAAATCCTAAACCAGCGAGATGGATTTCCTCAGCCAGTTAAAAATTCAGAGTTACAAACAGGGCAGCTCTTCCCGAAACCCAGGACCCCCTGGGACCTAAGGAAATCCAAGTGCCTCAGTGGCAATTGTAATAAATCTGTAGTGCCGCAGAGCAAGCCCAACACACGCAAGTTTGCTCCATGATTAAGAGATCTCTGTAATACCTTAAGGTCCCCAGTGGGCCCAGAGCAGTGAGATACAGCTAACATGCATCACACACATACGAATATCTCAATCATCACCACAGCTGACGGTGGCTCCGAAGCCAATCGATAGGGCAATTAGATTTTATCAGTACACGCCTCTCGGCCACCTACTTCTGCTGGCGTTGCAAAAGCCTCAGTTACCCCTGCCAGTCCCGGGCCTCCAGATGTCTTACTGAGAAGCACCGGTTGGAGCAGACTTTTGCTTTTTTTTGTAGATTTTTGCTGGCAGTATTCTTTATTTCCTTTAAAGGTCCGGTATCAGGGGACACTTTAAACATGAGTTAAGCTGTCAGCTATTCTTATCTAGACGTCTTGCTTCAGTGCACAGACGAACAGGGGGGCACACCCCCCCACCCCAAATCTCTCGCATGCTGAATCTCTAGCAGCAGGCTGTAATCCACATCTATTCCGTACTGGTACGGTGGAACAACACCACAGAGGTCTAGCAGAGAAGTTAGGGAGGACAAGGCAGGAGACTGAGCTCTGTTGTTCAGTCATCATTTGCTTTATGATCTTGGACAAACGTCCCTTTCTGTCTCTGTCGATTCATGAGCCTCTACAGTGCACTCAAAAACTGGTGGAAGGCATTATGCTTCTTGTCCAACATTTCTGATGAAACTTTACTTGCTGGCAACATAACTACCTCCCTTTCCCCTTTATCACTGCAGATTAGCAATACGAGTCTTTCCATTTTGTGTATTTTCAAAGTGCTGTAGCTCTCAGATGCGCTAGCTCAGATCTCCATAGATGCTGAACTTACCAACAAGCCACAATCACTACACTGGTCTTAATCACACCTCAGTGATTCAATAGACAGCACAGCCATTTGGTTTTGATGACTCCAGACTCTTCCTACCTGTCTGGGCCTCATCCTAAACACAGTGACTTTTTTGTCCCAGCTATCCCAAGCCCTAAGACTGCACCTCCTCTAGGCTTATCATCCCAAACAGCTGGTGCTCGCCACTGTGGGTTACAAGACCCACCGAGGTGGGTTATTACATCCTTGTCTAGTCAGGGCCAAACCTTGAGTCTTTCAGGACTCAGTTATTTTCTAAGTCTTTCAGCTTCTGCTGTCCCAAACTAAGCTCTTCAGTCTCTCTGTTCCCAAATACAACCATCACCATTGACATAAAGTGACCTGTTTTCACTTCAAAATTACCCATAAGCCTTCCAAGTATGTTAACAGCAGTGCTGCTCTTCCAGTCAAAGGCCTTACATGTGCCAGCAATACATGAGTCTCTTCAGCCCCTTGTGACCTGAACATCAGCCCAGCTCTAGCTTGAACCCTGACTCTAGTCCCACCTATCTTCCGGAACTCATAAAAGCCCCAGAACTAACTAGACACCATCATTTTCAGCCCCTTTCTGCATTTCAGAGACCATTAAAGAGCCAGTAATACTTCTCATTTTCCAGTCTATGCTGTTCAAAACTGTAACACTGACTCTAATCCTGGTTTTAACTATAAATCAAGGAACTCCCTCACAGAATTAATCATAAACCAAGCAATCCTGCCAACTTCAGCCCTCTTCTTAACCCCACGGGCCCTGCAATAAGAAAATCTCTTCCATTTGTGCTATCCTTGTTCTCAATCCTCTCCTTAGGCTCAGCGATAGCCCAGAAGCCACATACCCTTCTGAATCCTGCTTTAGCAGTACGCACTCACCGCTCACCCTGCCCACGTAGAATTTGCAGTCTGAGCTGCAGAGCAGCCTCCGGAGCGTTCAGCCTCTACTGGCTGGGACTCTGTGCTTGTGCTTCAAACCACAAATGCTAAACAAGCAACAGAAAACATTTTAGCAGCAGATTCCAACGTACTTTGAGAGCTCTGCAGCCTTATAGTCATGAGCGATGCAGGAGTTTTTAAACATATTGGCATTAACATAATTTATTCAGCATTGTCCATCTCCAAATGTCTTTTTGAGAGCGAGATTCTCATAACCCAAATACACAGTATTGTTCTCAACGGCATACAATGCAAACAGCAGACAACTGGGAGCACATTTCTTTTTCCCTTATTGTTTTAACTAAGTGGTTTAAACAACAGCCAGTCTTTTAGACTAACCCAACACTAATTCTCTTAAAATTATATATGTAGCAATTAGTTATACCATTCTCCCCTTCCACCCCTGCCAGTAAAAACAAACAGAACCAAGACATAAACCAAAGAATCGGCATCAGCTACAAATCCCAGCATGTTCTGCTCCTGTTCCCTCGACTTGCACGTCCAGAAGGTGGTGACATTGGTACCAGTTCAGACGCTAAAGTTGGAGCTGACAGGTTCTGCACAGACTTTGGCAAATGAGTCTTCCTTCAATCAAACAAGCACATAGAGGGTGACACGCTCCGGACAGGAGGGAAAAAACAGAGTTAAACTGTCCCCGTGGAGCCGTGACAACATCCCTTCTCCCTTTAGATACCTAATCTCCCCACCATCTCCCCACCTACTCTTTTGTTGGTCAACTCCTGTCAGACACTCCAAATCTATCACGTCCTGCAAAGCCCTGTCTCTTGCTTGGTGGCCTCTTGGGTGAATGAATCCTCTCTTTTTCAAACTTTCATCGAGGTCCCAGCCAAGCACCGCTGTCCTCACTGCTACAACACGTGTACAGAGACTATGTTTCGTATTTCTTACCGTTTCTTATGGTTAAGAAGCTATCCAGAGAACCTCAAACATAAATTCTAACAAATAAGAATGAGGAATTCTACATCCAATCTTTTCTACTGCTTAACACTGATGGGAATGAAAATTACCCTTTGTCTTTCTGGAATCCTATGGATCTCAAAGAATTTCAGCAACGCTGATCGAGCCCAGAAGTTTCACTGCAAAGCAAATAATATTACAAACCATTTTAACATCCGGGGTCCTCTGAGACATATAGACTCAAGCGAAGCCATACAGAAAAACCTGTCTCTGGACAGCCTGGCTCTTAGAGCTGTGTAGGGAAAGGGGCTGTGGAGACTGGTTAATGAAGAGAATATGGAGATTCAGCTGTGAAAGCAAAGACTGGGAGCTGCCCACGGCTGCTTTACAAACGTACCACAAATCCCCCAGCCCAGCACAACACATCTTGGGACACTTTACTGCAAAAGTAGTCACCCCAGTAAAAATTTCACTGCAGACAGGAGGAACCTTTCTGGAAAGGGGTCAAGCCTCATGCAAAAGGCAAGCCAGGTACCTGTCATGTTTCTGAATATCCTCCAAAGATATTCCCAAAGCATATTACATGTGGTGTTCCCTTCAGAGCCGGGGTTAAGTTATACAGTCGATAGAATGACTTACAAGAAAATACGAACAAAACCACAAACACGCAGATTTTCAAGAAAGGCCTACATTACCACACAGAGAGAGATCCAGTTCTGATTTAGAGGGACAGGGATCGCTCAATATAAAACCTAGCGTAACTCCCAGTTCTTGTGCAACTTTTATTTATAATCTAAAGCAAATCGTAGATTCTGCAAGCAACCAGAAGACCTCTAGTTTATCATCAGTGCCTCACTTGTGGACTGATGCGTATCTATCACCAAAGCATCCTTGCCCACAGCTCCCTCCCTTACTGACACAGTGCAGGATCCAAGAGGAGCGCTTCTGGTTTCACCACGTTAAGTTGAAACCAGGCGAAGTTCCCACAATAGCCAGGTAGCACTACGAAACCAAACAACCGTGGTCTCAGAAGAGTTGGCAGGCACAGACGCAGCATGGGGAACCTCTGATTAATGAAATCACAAATCAAACCATGCTCTCAGCAAGGTCTTTCTGCTTCACTTGACACTAACCCTGGGGACATTTCACTTCTTTGCTGGCGCAAGCTCCTTTGCCAGTAGTTTAACACAGACCGCTAGATTTGAGAATAACACAGGGCTGAGATCTCAAAAGGACTTTAACATCACCATGAAATCCTTTCCATGTTAATCTTGAGCCAGAATATTAAAAGCTTTCATATAGCTCGCTCCAAAGTGTAACACAAACAGCCACGGAAAAGCCTCTGAAAACATGAACAAATGAGGGAGTGAAAGAGAGAGGAGGGAAGTCAACAAACCCAAACCAGCACAACCTGCTCCAGTTGCTTACCTGCTGCTCCTAAGCCAACGTCGATGCTGTTTCTCTTGAATTCACAGCGGCTCTGGGTCTCTGGCATAACGAGCTGACGGCTCTGATGCAGGTTGGAGATGATAGTGGAAAGGTCGTTATCACGGCTGCAACAGAGCAGAAAAGCACCAAGTTAAGGAAATCCTATTTGCCACCACATAATTGATTTTTGTGTGTATGAGCGTACGCGTGTGCGCACGCAAGACTCTTTTGTTTGCCCCTGACACAGCTGTATTTCAAGAAAGGTTCTCCCCCTCCTACCCATCAGGTTCCTAGGTAACCTCCTCTGGTTTTGGGGAGCGGAGACCAAGTGCAAAGCGCTTCCCAAACTGCACTCTCATTTCCCATAAAGGACTCTGCAGCTGCCAGAGCTCCTGATTTCAGTTTTGCCAGATATAACTTGCGTGGGCCAGAACTTACATCTCAGATGGAAAAACTGAAAGTGTAGGAATTGGCAGATCCATTCCAGAATTAATAGGAAACTTGAACTGAAATAACTGATAGTTTTCTATCAGTTGCCACTCTTCTATTCTTAAAAAAAGTAAGTTTTTCCATTCCATCACTGTTGGAACACAAGGCTACTTTATTTACTTGAATAATAGTTTTTTTTTTAGAGAGAAACCCACCATGAACCCGGACATCAGCATTACTCAGAGCTGAGAGTACAGATTTATTTACAAAACTAATTTTCAACTCTTCATTCTAACAGATCCTGAAACAATGCTCTCTTCCTTCTGGGAAAAGAGAATACATTAGAGCAGTTCAGCATTATTTTGCCTGTTATCCTTGCATCAGATTGCTGCTAAGTAGGCTAGTTTAGTCGTTTTTTTTTTTTTTTTTCCTTCCCCCCCTTCTATGGAGAGGGAGAACACAAAACGACATCCACTGTAGCAGATACTGCAGTTCAGCTGGCAAATGCTTCTGCTTGCAAACCACTATCCACTTGCAAAATATTTCTGAATAAATGATACACAAACACTGAAGAGGAAGAACAAGCTAAAACGTATACATGATACTAAATAGAAATGCTGGAATGTCTCCCTTTTGTTTGTTTGTGGTATGTATTAAATCACCCATCCTTCTAGCACAAGGTGCCTGCCCCAAGCTAAATGTGGCTATTTTTCTTCCTTCCCTCTTTCTAAATGGAAGATGACAGCCAGAAGAACCAGAGACACTTACAAAAAATTATACATATTAGAAACACTGCCCTCCCTCCCACATCCACAGCTCCCTCGCCACCTCTACTCACACGACAAGAGCACCCAGTCTGTGCTGCTGTGACACACAGCACATGACCACCAACTCACTGGTGCAGAGGAGAGAGTCCTCACCTGGGACCAGCAGGACAACACGGAGGGTGCATTATCTGCAGAATTACCTAGCAATGATCTTCCTTTAAATATCCCCCCCTCTTATCCCCCCTTACCTCCTCCCCACCTGCTGCACCCCCACCTACAGGCTATCAGCACTGGCAACAGGAGCAGATCTGCTCAACCGCTCCAGAGAGCCCATCCCTGGTGCAGAAGCAGGGGCTAATCTGTCGTCTAGCTCTCTGCTAATCAGATAAGTTTATGACAGAAAGTCTTTAGACAGAGGTACTTTCAGCGGGCGTCTGGCTCCAGATTTTCGCAAGATGTAGCAGACAAAAACAGACTCGCATTTCAGCAGCCGCTGTCATGTTCCCTGCTGCTCCCCCCGCGCGCTGCCCCCACCCCCAATCTCGGCAATGAGAGGATGCTCGGATCTCAAAGCCTTTGAGCACCCATTGCATCTTCCTCCGCTAAACCAGTTCAGATTTCTCCTTATGCAAGCAGAAGGCTAATTACTTAAGCAAGCCCACAGGTGAGTGGGAAGCCCATTTCTCCTGTGCCAAGCAGTTTTGGGTCTTATCCTCTTTTAGCTGCCACCTTTAAGATGCATTATGCAAATATTTTGGTGTCTTAAGTCATTTATGGGATTAATGTGAAGTGATTATCAGTTCTTTTTAATCATGCCAATCAATAACTGGATGTCAGGGACAGAGGACAAATACAGATAAACGCTGCCATCAGCACAATGCTCAGGAAAGGGCGGAGGAGATGAGCCAGAAGTGCAGAGGGAGAAAGGCAGGGAGTAGGAAGAGAAAAATGGGATAATTACATCTTCACATTTGCAGAGTGTCTTGCATCCCAATTGAGCCCAAAGCACCTCCGATACGTAAACACATTAAGAGAGCTACGAGAAGGAATTGTTTTTTCCACCACTAAAACGCAACTATCTCTCTTTCTGGAAAAGAGCGTAGCAACTCCTTAAGATGACTTGATTCTCCGAAAAGCAAAAAGCGCAGAACACCACAATGTATCCCCTGAAAACTAAAATCACGGGAGCTATGTGGAGGGAAACGTTTCCACGGTGGAAGCGGTATTTTTCTACCCCAACAATCTTGTGGCTTTAGGAAATTTTCCACGGCCTTAAAATTGAAATCATCATGGGTATGCAAAGGTACACGAGCAAGTCGTAACTCCACACGTGAGCGGGTACCACAGGGCTGATGGGTACGCTCTACAGGCTTTGAATTCAACTCAGTCTACCTGAACAATTAGGCAGGATCCCAGGAAAACAGGACTTTGCTGGAATACCTTTGCAGAAGGCAAACTGAACACCAAGGTGACATTGAGAGGAAAGGGAAGAAAGATTATAGAGATAAGGCAAAGAGGCCGAGACAGCTTTTAACACATCAGACTGTCCCCAGGAGTTGTTCCTTTTGTCTTAGTGCATGGGAGGTTTGAAGCCTTTCTGTTCTGGGCTTGTTCTACACCTGGCACAATGGGAGGTAGCTTATAGCTGGGGCTCGGTCTAAGTATGAGAAAAGAGTGAATGGTAACCAGAGCTTCTTAGGAAAAAATGAGATACCCTTCTGCTTAGGTGAAGACTTTTAAGCATTTTTTTTTTTAAATCTTGTAGGCCAAGCTGGCCCCAGCAAATACAGCCCCGCACAGCCACAGCCAGACTCCAATGACTGTGTGGACTCTAAGGGACACACTAGTGTAAGGCTCTGCTTAGACCACAGAGGACTTTCTACCACATGTTGGATCAACAGAATAAAATACCAGCTTTGGTTCTGCAGCTGACAACTCTGCCACTTCCAAATTATCCATGACTGCATGACAGTAAACAAACATCATTTTTACAAGAGACCCTCCACTGAGCAAAGTCCAACTAATTGCTTTCATCCCAGTGTCATTTAATAAAGGTGGCAAAAGTTTAACTTTTAATTGAGTCTCAATTCTTCAGGTACTCCATCAGTCACTCAGCGCTTTAACCAGGAAGGGCTCTGCCCAGCTACCTGCGATTTTCAGAAATTACCTGCTTTTGCACACTTGCTACCTCAGACCACAGCACTGCAACTGCACTCCCAGCCCTGAGACCACATTGTCTCCTGCTGGTTGGCCCCGCAGGAGGACAGAAGACACAGCACTACCAAAGGCTTTGGGAGATCTGCCTGGTCCCTATACCAAAATTTGAAAAACATGAGTTATAACTCCAGCCTGGCCAAACTCCTTCACAACTCAGCCCTGTCCAGGCCCTCCCCTACCCCTCAGCCCTGAGGGGAACACCTCAGCCAAACCACAGTCACCAGCCCTACACCACAAGGCAGGCAGACATCTCCCTCAGCTCTGCCTTGTCCCTTTGCCATCACCTGTGTGAAATGGGGAGCACCTGGGCTCAGCCAGTGCCCACCCAGTCCCTGGGCTGCCAGGTGGCCAGTGTTAGCCCTCTGCCCCATGTTTCAGTTCCCTTTGACTAACAAACAGGTCTCCAGCTCCTCAGCCCCATTCCTCGGTTCTTCACTCCTACCTATCGGCTTTGGACTTTTGCTCCCCCGTACCCTGTAAAAGAGGTGCAATCCAGGACAGAAGTGAGACCCTCTCCCTCAGCCCAGGTTACAGGGTATTCTCTGTGCGTTCAACTTGCTCACAATACAGGACAATGTTTTCAAAACACAGCGAGTCTCTTGGGGAAAAGGCTATTTGTTCCTCTGGGTTTACATACCACGTAACTTGCTCACAGTAACCAGAGAATTACACAATGGCTTGGGTTGGACAGGACCTTAGAGACCATCTAGTGCCAACCCCCTGCCAGGGGCAGGGACCCCTTCCACCAGCCCAGGTTGCCCAAAGCCCCGTCCAACCTGGCCTTGAACCCTTCCAGGGAGGCGGCAGCCACAACTTCAGTTTAAAAAAATCACCCCTTGTTCAATCCCTGCACTCCCTGATCAAGTGTCCCCCCACCCCTTTCCTGTAGCCCCTTTCAGCCCTGGGGGGCCGCTCTAAGGTCTCCCCGGAGCCTTCTCTTCTCCAGCTGAACCCCCCAACTCTCCCAGCCTGACCTCACAGGGGGGGCTCCAGCCCCCCGAGCATCTTCGTGGCCTCCTCTGGCCCCGCTCCAGCAGGTCCGTGTCCTTCTGCTGTTGGTGCCCCCAGAGCTGAACCCAGCCCTGCAGGGGGGTCTCATGAGAGCAGAGCAGAAGGGGAGAATCCCTCCCTGGCCCTGCTGCCCACCCTGCTCTGGGTGCAGCCCCGCACACGGGAGCTTTCTGGGCTGAGAGGGCACATTGCTGCCTCACAGTCAGTTTTCCATCTACTACTACCCCCAAATCCTTCTCCTCAGGGCTGCTCTCCAGCCACTCCTCACCCAGCCTGGATTTGTGCTTGGGATTTCCCCAACCCATGTGCAGGACTTCGTATGTGGCCTTGTTGAACTTCATGAGATCCCGTCCTACATGTAATCCTGTCATATACAGACCAGGCAACAAACTCAGGGGCCCAGGGCTCCAGCAGACAGAGCCAGTGCAGGAATAAAGGTCCTTCCCTCGGAGGGAATACAGCAGGCAAAAGAATATCCAGGTTGCAGGACCTCGGGTCAAGATTAACAACACACACTTTGGGGATACCAACACACATGTAGCAATGCCTAAAACTTGGCTGCTTGGTCTGGCACCACGACTAATGGAACTGAGGACAGGGCCCTAGAATTGGGGTAAGGGAACCTGAACTGGGTGTCAGAGCATCCCCTCTGAAGCCCTCATCAGCAAAAGCACAATTCTTGCATGACCTTAGGGGGAGGG